CTACATTAGCAAGGAACGAAGATTTCTTAAGAAGCCTAAATAGTGTGGTCTGGAATGAGACGCAAACAATTAGTGAGTTTGAAGCAGCATGGCAAACAGTAATGGAAAAACATGAACTGGTTGACCACAGATGGTTTACCCACTTGTTTGAGATACGTGAATATTGTATACCAGCATTCTTTAACGACATGTTCATGGGTGGCTTAATGAAAACAACCTCAAGGTCGGAGTCAGAGAACAACGTCTTCAACAGCTGCACTTCCGCACATCTAAGTTTAACGGACTTCTTCATAAAGTTTGAGAAAGCAATAGACAAACAACGCCACACCCAAACAAGGCTAAACGCAGATTGTGAGGACAAATTCCCAGAGTTGAAGACAACTTTATTGCTAGAGCGTCAAGCTGCTACAACATATACAATTGATGTGTTCTATGATGTCCAAAAAGAGATACTCGAAGCATGCTTCTCATCCCAAATCATTAACAAAACAGTTGAAGGAAGCCCAAGCATCGCCTCTACATCCTCCTCACGAATAGGCACCGACACACCATTCCCCAAACGCAAGGACATCGTACCAGGGTCGAAATTCTCCAGCAGCCAACGACCCATCCGTCCAGGAGTCTCCATAACCTCCAACTCTAACAACTTCCCAAACCCCAAATCACACACTGCGCTACGCTGCCGGCGTGAGAACTTTCTACGAGCCTTAACAAGTATGCGTGCAGAGCACCTAGTTTTCAAACTCGGGAACCGAGCAGCCTCCGCTGGAGTCAGCTCATACTCCGACACATCAACATCATCATCCTCCAGCACAGGTGCCTCAACCTCAGGCTGTTCCTCTGGGAAAAACAAAATACACCATATCAAACACTAAAAGGCACACATGTAAGAACACACCGGCACACTTACAAAATCCATTACCATTACACCAACCACTGCACACCAAGGACAAATAATCTAATAGACTAAATTCCATACAGTATAACTCAAAATGCACACAACAGAGACCACAAAGGCACAGAGCGGGAGCAGCCACCCTCCAAGACAACACAAGGGCACCCACAATAGTACTAAAATACACACACCCAAATCAAACACTGAAAGGCACACACGTAAGAACACACCGGCACACTTACAAAATCCATTAACAATACACCCACCACTACATGCCAAGGACAAATAATCTAATCGACTACATTCCATACAGTATTACTATAAATTCACACAACAGAGACCAAAAAAACACACAGCGGGAGCAGCCACCCTCCAAGACAACATAAAGGCACCCACGGTAGTACTAAAATACACACACCCAAATCAACCATTGAAATGCACACACGTAAGAACACACCGGCACACTTACAAAACCCATTAACAATACACCCACCACTGCACACCAAGGACAAATAATGTAATCGACTAAATTCCATACAATATTACTATAAATGCACACAACAGAGACCACAAGCCACACAGTAGGAGCAGCCAACCTCCAAGACAACATAAGGGCACCCACGATAGTACTAAAATACACACACCCAAATCAACCACTTAAATGCACACACGTAAGAACACACCGGCACACTTACAAAATCCATTAACAATACACACACCACTGCACACCAAGGACAAATAATGGAATCGACTTAATTCCATACAGTATTACTATAAATTCACACAATAGAGACAACAAAGGCACACAGCAGGAGCAGCCAACCTCCAACATAACATAAGGGCACCCACAGTAGTACTAAAATACACACACCCAAAAAACACATAAACAAAACCTGCCAGCACACAACCACAGAGATATATGATGTAAGAACCTCCCTGTGATATGTTATTTAACATTGTTTTATCTACTTGGACTCAAAACCGTTTAATTTTCTTCTACTTTCTATGTGTCTTGCAGGCATGACTTTCAGTTCTTTAAAACACAAACTACAGGGGGCTGTTTGAAAAGGAAGTTTACTACCTCATGGTGGGTCATGGCTCTCCTCTACATTTCAATTAACAACAAAAAAAAAAAAAAAAAAAAAAAAATCAAGGAGCAGACCATTCATCAATGGCATCCCCGCCCCACCAAAACACACCACAGTCTAACCAAAACCCTCAACCAACACACCACAGTATAGCCAAAACCCCCAACCAAGACCCCCCCCCCCCCACTGCCACCCCACCCATCGGCACAACCACCCAACCAACCCCCGAAACCCAAAAAAAAAAAAAAAAAAAAAAAAAAAAAAAAAAAACTACACCGGTAAAGCAACAACCCCAAAATCAAATAACAAAGAAGCCAAAACTCATATATATCAAAACAATGCAAACAAAGACCCAAATCATATATCCGAAATTTATATATAAAAAAAATGAAAAAAAGGGGCAAAAACCGACCTGGAACAGCGGCCGACTTGGCCGCCGGCCGTGGACGCTTGGGGTTCCGACCCACGGTGCCGGCAGTCTCAGCCGGGACTCCAACCGCCGCAGGCGACGTAGCAGCGGCCGACCTCGCCGCCGGCCGTGGGCGCATAGGGTTTCGAGTCACGGTGCGAGCCATCACAAACGGACTTCAATCGGAGCAGCGACGCTGTGGAGGAATACGGAGACCTTCGACCTTCTCTGGAGAGCTTCGAACGTCTCTGTAGAGCTGTCCAACTTCTGCGCTGTACGGACTCTCCAATGCGAAATAAAAGGGAAAAAATAATAAAACCCTTCACGCGCCTATGACATGACCATACTACCCTTACCCGCCCAAATTAAACCCAATCCACCGTAAAACACAATTTTAAAAATAATAAAACATACACCGTGGATTAATTTAAATAAACGGCTTAGATTAGTTCTTACGTTCCTATCTAACAATGGGTTCCTATATGATTGTTATTCTAAGAAGTAAATAAAATTGTTAAATTATCTAGACCATTGATTAAGCAAATTTATATGGCTAGGATTAGTTCCTAGGTTCCTATCTAACAAAGGGTTCCTACTTGAAGCTTCCCCTATATATATATATATATATATATATATATATATATATATATATATATATATATAATAAAAAAATTAAAAAAAAAAAAAAAAACCCCTAAAGATGAATTGATTATATGTACTACAGCAATTCATGGGCAGCTATGGGTAGGTAACCCAATTGCAAAAGGGTTGTTTTCACCATTATTAAAACCTTAAACCCAGACCTTCTAGAAGGCAGTATAACTTAGCAATGGTGACATGGGATGGGAGGCAAAGGTTGGGTTGGATTAATTAGGTTCAGTGTAAGTGTTAAGATGGGATTACATAGAGCGGCAGCATTATGGGATTCTAAGACTTTTGTGGATGTTAATAATATTAATAATTGAAATGGACATTTGAAAATGACTAGAGTTGACCACATCTTATTGTGGCAATTTAGGGTTCGATGCTTGCTTGATGACATGTACTTTGCCATGTGTTGTTAAGTTAACATAGAAATAATTTTAAAACATTTTTTTCATCAATTAGAGCATTGCATGTCATGTTAATATAGGAATAAGGTTCAAATTGGCCACTGAACGTAACCTGAAAATGCAATTAGGCCACTAGACGAAAAAAAAAGTGCAATTAGGCCATTGAACACTCAAAAAATGTGTAATTAGGCCACTGAACTCTCCAAACGTATGCAATTTTTACCGGATAACAGGTTACCATCAATTTTAGCCGGTTACCTGCTTACGTGGCAGCTTAGTTAGCATTTTTAATAATTTTTAAATAATTTTTAATAATTAATTTTAATAATAAATTTTATAAAAAATTGGAAAAAATTAAATAAAAAATAAAATAAAGTCGTTTTTATTTTTTTTTAATAAAAAGTTATTATTAAAATTTATTAAAAATTAATTAAAATTTATTAAAAATGCCAACTCAGCTGCCACGTAAGCAGATAACCTGCTAAAATTGAGGGTAACCTGCTATCATGTGAAATTGCACATTTTTGGAGTGTTCAGTGGCCTAATTGCACTTTTTTTTTTTCGTTCAGTGGCCTAATGGTATTTTCAGGTTACGTTCAGTGGCCAATTTGAACCTTATTCCGTTAATATAATGTAAAAGTAAGAATATATATAACGAGTAATCCACTCAAATTGGTTAAATAGTTGATTTGATAACTTTTTGGGTTTTAAGAAAATGGAGCAACGTACTCCAATTATCTATAAGCCTTTTTAATTTTTTTAAAAAAAGAGCAACTCTAAATGAGTACACTTGCTTAAGTAAAAAATAGTGTTTAATTTCATCCGTTGATTTATTCTAGATCAAGGGTAAAAAATTGAGATATTTTTTTTTTAAAAAAAAAAGTGGTGGCACTATGGTGTTTTGTGTAGATAAGTTATATTTTTTATTTTCTTTTTTTTTTTCTTTTTTTTGTCTTCCTTTTGCATTTTTTTCTTTCTTGCGGGGCACAATATTGAGTCTTCCATAGCACACTGATGCTATCCAGTGCACATAGATTTGCCTTAAAGAGCACAATTTTAAGCCTTCCATAGCACATTGTTGTTGTGTCTTCCTAAACACATTATTGTGTCTTCCCAAACACATTGTTGTGCCTTCAAAGTGCATATTGTTGAGCCTTCCAGAGCACATTGATAATTTTTGCATCTAGGTCAATTTTAAGTTACATGATTTTCCTTCTTAAAGTGCATAATTTTTGTACTTAAGGTACGTGATTTGTGTGCTTAATGTGAATAATTGTTGAAACTTAAGACGCGTAATTTTTTTGCTTAAAGTGCGTGATTTGCGTGCTTAATGTGAATAGTTATTAAAACTTAAGGTGTCAAATTTTTTTAAGGTGTTAATCTATGACTGAGATTCAACCGCATGTTTCACCTACAGCCCTCACCGCACTAGAGCCTAAGCGGCTAAGCCTAATTTATATATATATATATATATATATATATATATATATATATATATATATATATATATATATAACTTAACCACATCAAATAGTAAAGCTCAATGAAAAAAAAAATGGTACAAGTAACATTTTCACATATAAACCGAGCTGAACTAAAAAGGTTCCAAATCTAATTTCTAGTTGTTCTATCCGATGAGATCAGAAAGAGATGATAGCATTCCAAAACCCAAAAGATAATAAGGCGCATGACAAGATTATGTACAAATCAATTCCCTTTTCAATTCGGTAAAATCTTGAAACTAAAGGGAATCATCCATCCTACATCTGGCTGCCCCTTGTTGGACGACAGACATGGTTTCTCTTGCGAGCATGTTCTTCATTATGGTGCTGCGTCCTACACGCATAACCGTACCAGCAGTCTTCCCTCTGAGATCCTTCTGCCGGTAGACACTGAAAGTACATATATAGTTAGTGCAAACCAATGTTTGTTAAGTCCTAAACAAATGTACATTACCATAGGAAATTATGGCAACAATAACAGTTGATAGGTGAAAACTGTTGAATTTGGAAGATGGAATAGCCTGGCGGGGGGAGAATAACACCTAGTTAGGCAGAAGCAATGATGAAGAATCAAAGAATAGAAAATGTATTATAAGACTAAAATACATTAGTATTATCTGTGTTTCAAACAAAGAAACATAGTACATATATATATTCAAACACATAACTGTAAGTAACTACCCATAACTAACATCTATTCATAAACAAACACAACCCTAACCCTATAGATATACCTAACACTTTATTTTTCAACAAAAACACCAGGGTACAAGAATGGACGGACGCCATGACGAGAAGATATGGTCGAGGAGGAATTGAGTTGTTGACAAATACATGTTATACGCATCGGAAGAGATTAAATTTTGTCTATTTACCCTTCCGAATATATATGTAAGCAATGCTGGGATCAAATCAACAAGTATACAAGTCGGTCAACAATGAAAGAGAAACTTACGTGCTTTGGCATCGTGACCCTAAACCAGTACAAGAGAAACGAGACTATCTTGTCATAGCACTCACTGCAGTACAGAAAACCAACCAACCAGCAGAAGATCATTTTTATAATGAACAGCTTAGAATATAACGTTACAAGGTAAAGGGGTTAGTAAACTAACCTACAACAACGTGTACGAGCAGTTATCATCTCAGCATGATTCAGTGGCATCCTTGTTCGGTCTGTACAAAACAAAACAAAACAAAACAATATTTTACTAGGAACACATCATTTCAGTTCGCATAGCAAGTAATGAACGCTAGGTATACAGATCTGAATGGCACAGCTAGAAAAGGCATAGCAAAAATAGCAAATAAACGAATAAGATGAACACGAATATTAGACTAGTATAATAATATAATCAAGTTTTCAACAATAATGTATCACCTATTTCCCGATTATCCAACTTCAAAATCCAGTCAGAGACAACATCTTGCAATGACCTACCCATCTTTGTGATACATATTTCTGTGATCTATTATAGGAAGAAATGCACAAAGAGAGTGAGAAACCATTGAGTAGTCAGTCATAGGAATCCATCAATCAGACAATCAAAAAGAAGTCCTTGCCTCCTGTTCATGCCTATTCCTCTCATGTGCCAATAATGGGATTCTAGTGATTGTACGTTCTGTGATCTGCAAGAAGATAAATATATAAAGAAGCAAACATAAAATTTGATGCTAAAACAGAAACTGGGAGTATTTAGAAGCCAGAAAAGATCATTTAGAAGAAAATCAAATTAGTTCGGAAGTCTTACGGGTTTGAAAGTTTCAGGACTGCATATTGGGTGCAAGTCATTTCCATTAACTCCCTGAGCATGCCAATAAGCAGCACAGAATGCCCGATCACATCCTATACCTAAAAAAGAGGACAGTTTCAAAGAGTATAAATAAATAAATCATTCTAAAAATGCAAAGGAACAGTTCAAAACAATCGTGTCCAATATGATAAATTTAACTATCTTTGAATACATGACATGGTCCTGCACTAAAACTGCTTAATCTCTTCATAAATTAGGCCTTTCACAAGTTAAAAAAAAAAAAAAAAAAAAAAAAGAAGCATGACAACCACAATCGGTTCTAGTTATAAAATAAAAATGTACTACTACACCTATATTTTTCAAGAAAGTAGTTTTCTCAGTACTAACATGGAAAAGAGCTCAGATGTTAAATGAGAGAATTAAAGATTTCTAATAATCAATTAATCTTTAGGCGGGGCATGGTACATGAGGTCAGAAACTTATAATTTCAATTCTCTAAAACTAATTGTAAAGCCAAGAAGAACATTTATCCATCAAACAGTTATAGAGACCTAACATGTTGAAAAGAATGGAAAAGAAACTTGGCAGACAAAAATATAGCACAAATGAGGTCAAAATGGAATTACATTGTTGTGGAATGTTAATATTTGTTCTCAAAGGCATCATCCCTCCACATGCATGGCACTGTAAATGAACTGTGCTTTGGTTACATTGGAACCCTCCAAATTCAGTGCCTGAGAGTTGCAAACATACCACCGCATATTAAAATGAAAATGTAAAATATGCATTCTTAGTCATGGGGATATAGTTATTTAAATCCCTCACTAAGTTCCCCCAACGGCTCAGCCTTTAACTTGTCTCAGTCAAGGGATCGACATATTTATAAATCATTTTAGTTAAAACAAGTTTATACATGTCATGTTGTGTAAACATGTTCATGTATGAATTTTTAAGGGTTTTGATTCATTTCTTAAATGTGTCGTGTTTGTATCAAGGAATACTCCATTAGACTAGTGACACATGAAAACCCAATTACCACATTGACGGCATGGAAGCTCCCATCTACTGGCCTCATCTGATGGAGAGTGCGCCCTCTTCCTTTTAGACCGTTTTCCACTGTTAAGAACCTGCAAAATGAGGTTAGTAACTAATGATGAATGAACTTTATTAGTTACTAACATTTTGTTCTTGAATATGCCAAGTACTTTTGTTGTTAATGTATTATTTATTTATTTTTATTTATTTATTTTGATAACTAAACCTTATATAATTTTACTTCTTATATATTAATGATGGATATCAGATGGTCATAAAACATAAAAGTAGGATATTCAAGACATAAACAATAGTGAGTACTACTTACAAGTGGTGATTTTATTGAGGCATAAGAATCTATAAGTTTGATATCTTCACTAGGACGCTTCAGAGAGGGATCAGCTTCCAGTATATTCTGAAAAAGTATGGCATATTCTTTTTATTAAAAAAAAAAAAAAAAAAAAAAAAAAAACAAACAAACAAACAAAAAAAAAAAAAAAGGAAAGTCTAAATGAAGAGAAATCGTGCTAGAACAGGTAAAGTATTGAATGGTGCATGAAATGGATCGGAAAAATAAGAAGGCATCATTGGTTGGAAGAACTTTGTGAAGCATATAGATTGAAACATATACCACTCCCTAAAATATTACCGTTACAAAACAAACAATTAATATAACATGAACTTCAACTTGAGTCCACAATCTATGATGAACTACTAAATAGATATTACAGGAATCAAATGAGCACCAGACTACAAAACATAAAGGGGAAAGAAGAATTATGTCTAACCAGCATAATAACAGAAGAAAAATTACCTCCTCAATGTTATGCAAAAAGGGGTTCTTTCCCACAAATTGAACAACTGCTCTACATTCAGGACATTTTACACTTGAGTTTTTCTCTTGAGATCTCCTTAGCCACTCTGAAAAGCATCCATTGCTGAAGAACAGACAATTTTTTATCAAAATAATCATGCATAAAATTTGGATGGCATTATAAAGACTACAAAGATTGAAAAACCAACCAAAAATTATGAAGACAAGGCGCAACAGTGACAACATCATGCCAAATGTTTAAACAAATGCTGCATTTGGCATGCTCTACGTCAACAGAGACCTATAAAAACCAGCCACAAATTGGCATTCAACATTGATAGTGCACCAAAAATAAATAAATAAATAAACAAATAAAAGAAAATGTGTGGGGGCAAGTTTCTGATTTGTCTATATCACTGATGGTATTTACCTTTAGATGTTTGTAAGATTCCTCAACAGGCATTACCTCAAATTTGTACTTTAAAGAACCTAATGAGTAATGATAACAAAAAGAAGGGCAAGGTCAGCCATTTTGGCATTGATACAATCATAACAAAGTCAACATATCTGTGTCACAAGAAAGTTCATTCTTAGGGTTCAGGGTGTAGCTTAGGGGTAAGTTGCACCCTCTTCCAGGCTATAGATGTGGGTTCAAATCCCACTACCCCCATCCCCTATGACTTGTACCCAAAAAAATGTTCATTCTTAACTGCAAGTGAGGGGAGTGGGGGGTGGGGGGTTGACAAACCAGGAGATGCTTCAATTCACAAATAACTTTTTCTACTAAATGTTTTTTCCTTGTCTTCCTTTTCTACTCTTTCCATTTATAATTAAAGCCTGCTTAATGATTAATCCACTAAATATCTATACAACTTGTGAAGAAAAGTAATGTGAATTTAGGCTTTATGCTATTCATGTCTTTTGGTACCAAAACATAATGGAGTATCATAACCTTCAGCTAAGAGCCACAACAAAAAACAACAATAAGAGGCATAAAGATGGAACAAAAAATCTTTCTAGGATGCTCTTCACCAACACTGCTTAACACTAGTTGGCAGGCTAAATAGGCCAGATCATGGAGGTTGAGTGGCCAAGTGACACTTATCATCCACCCCAGAAGTCTAGTAAGTGTTATTTCTGCAATAACAGATTGATATATGCAAATATACAATGTAGAGCTCATTCCACTTTTGGTCCCTTGACTATAGTGGGTTTTTCACTTTTGGTCATGGACTTTGATTTGTTCCACTTTTAGTTCAAAATGACCAAAATACCCTCACTATATGAAAATTTCACCAAACTCCACCTTATTGTATGGAAGGGTGTTTGGGTTATTTTGGTTTAAAAGCGAAATGTTTTTAAAAGTTGACAACTAAAAATGGAACAAATGAAAGTTGAGGATCAAAACTGAAAATGCTAAATATGCCATTATAGTTGAGGGACCAAAAGTGGAAGAAACTCTACATTGTATGTCCAACTGCCTGTGAAGAGATTAGAATTTATAAAACAAAAAAAGATGACTTTGATAAATCGTTACCCTCAGTTTGAAGACAAGGCGAAATTTCACTGCCACACTTGACTATAGCAGTTTGATCATCCAGAACAACCTTCTCATCAACAAGAATTGTGTTTGAACTACATTAGAAGACATCATAAGTACATAGAAATCTTATAAAAAACTACATACATAAATCATGTGTGTGTGTGTGTGTGTGTGTGTGACTGTATGTCTGTTCATAAATGGATATATCTGGCAAACATTAAGTCAACTAACATACTGCTATGAGCCTATGAAATGAAGTTGCATTATTGAATTTGTTGAGCACTTAGCCTTTGTCAAATGGGAAAATTGAAGTTGCTTTATAGACACACCATACAAACCATAGAAAGAACTATTCATATTTTAAGATCTCTCATTATGTCAATTTTAAGGCAGGAGATATGTTTGAATTTAATTATAAATGCATGATCCTCGAAATCAAACATCAGTTCTTACATGCAAACCTGTAGGTTTACCTGAACTAATCATTTAAATGCATATTCAAAAGATCAATCTTAGCAGATGCAATATCAATCACTTGACCATTACTTCTAATGAGCTGCAATGCCCCCAAGGAAAGTACTCATTTTAATTGCTTTCAGAATCCACATTCAAGGGAAAGGAAAATACATATACTGCATGCTTCTTAAGTTTGCCACTGAATTTTAGGCAGTGAAATAACAAAAATCTTGAATAAAATAATTTTCAGTAGAATCCAACAGTGTTTAACAATTAGCAGACACTTATATTGATGAAATATGGCTTCTTCAGTCATCAGTTACATTAATTCAACAAAGCTGAATAGGACTTCATTCTCATCACCAATGTCAAGTTAGATAATGAATAGGACCAAAGAACTCAAAAACATAATGCTACCTCGTATTTTGTATTGTGGCAGAAACCAGATCCACCCCTCTTGTTATTTTGCACCATGCCTGTTTCTCCAAAGAGGTCACCTCTGAGCATATCACAGTCTCATTCAACTTCAGCTCAATCTCTGAATAACTTGAATCCATTGGTACTATAGAAAAGCCAACCGGGGCATTTACATCAGATAATTTCTTCCTTTTTTTCAATATATGCATAGACAGATTAACAACAAAAGATTGAATTTCATGACTACAATTCACTTGTCAGTATATGCATAGACAGATAAAGGACTAAGGATTGAATTTCACAACCAAAATTTACTTTTTGATTGCAACCAAAAACATATACAGAGTAATAGAAACACCAAGGATTTCACTTGTAAAGTTGTTACTTTTTATTTTCAAAATAATTGCAAGATGTGATTGTACACTTAAGTACATCCCTTTTCCTTTCCACCCAAGGATTTTTGTTTAGGTTTGCTTGATTGATTCAATGCTTACTCCAATTCCTCACAACCACACGCACACAAAGAATTTGTTAGAAATGGAGTACATGAAAATTTTGATGGAATAGTAATAACAATTTCGAAAATTATTTCTTGACGTATGAAGTTGAGATTCAAGCACGAAACTCCAATTGAGTAACCTATATTCATCCGATTACAACAATTGAATTACTTACCAATCATAATTTTGAGCATCATTCATGCTAGAATTCAATGTGGGTCAGTAAAAGATGATAACTTTTCATCAAACCCAGTAACACAGCAAGAAAATTACACCACAATTAATAAAAGCACTATCTAATCAAGAATCCTTGGCTCAATGGAATAACATTGGAATTCATTTTTCTCTTCCATCTCTTTACAAAGAAGGGCTCACTGCAACTGGATGAACCGAATAATGCTAGGCAGTAAGAGTTAAAGAAAACCCAGTTCTAGAAATCATAAAAGATACAAACGTTTTTATCTGTTTAGGTTCATGATACACAGAAAGACATAACGCGCTTACTGAGTTTGGCCCAGACTACGCCGTCGCCGGAGGGCTTAGAGCCAGAGCTTTGCCCCATTTCCATGGTTTCCTCTTGCGTTCGTGCGTAGCAACTGCAGGGGTTAATAACGTACTAGAGACAATCTACGTAAATTCCACGTATATACATATAAAAATAAGGAAATGGAACAATGAAAGATTGTCTTGGAAGGAAAAAAGAACGGCAACGTAAGGAATCGTCGGGGGATTCAGCGGGGCCCGTACTGTCGAAATGGGCCGAGAAGCGGATCTAAAAGAGTTTTATTATATGGATTTTTTTTTTTTTTTGAAAGAGTTTTAAAAGTCCATATAATAAAACCAGGCAAATTAAGGCAAATTATTGCATGGACACAATTGTGTGGACTATGAATATAGGTACATTTTTAATATATTAAGATTACATTATTTGTGTACTGAAGGTACATTATTTTTGTATTGAAGGTACATTATATAAAATAGTGTACCCCTAATATATTAGAAATGTACTTTAAAAAAATGTACTTTATGTACATAAATAATGTACCCTTAATATACTAAAAATGTACTTTTTATTTATGGTCCACACAATTGTATGACCATGATCCATGCAATAATGATTGACAAATTATTGTGTGGACCATAACAAAAAGTACAATTTTAATATACTAAATGTACATTATTTGTGTACTGAATATACATTATATAATATAATGTACACTCAGTACACAAATAATGTACATACCTTGAATATAATGTACATTTTTAATATACTAAAAGTACATTATTTTTGTACTGAATGTACATTATTTTACAGTATACAAAATATGGTCCAAACAACTTGTGTGGACCAATAATGATTGAACCAGGCAAATTATTGTGTGGACCATAGATAAGATATTGACTATCTTATATGGACTTTAAAATTTTATTTCTTCAATTTTATTCTTTGATGTAAATATCATGGATAAGATATTTTCATTCTGTATGTCCATAGAAAGTTGTTTATATTAAAGACTAGTTTTACACCCGCATTGTGCGAATGACTTAATGCCGAATGTTTATAATTAAATAAATATTTGAAAGTATATGAATGCAAGATTATATATGAGAAGTTCATATATAAGTAATTTAAATGTTGAATTTGTTTATTTAAATATGTAACTCGTATATGAATACAATGTAATACATGAGATTCATTATAATTGTTATTAAACTTTTTTTTTTAAATAGTAACCAAGTATTTTTGTTGCAAAGGGTTCTAATATATTTAATGAATGCACATATATACAAGATCAATGAATGAATCAACGGTACTAGTCCTTTAGGTGTTTTGCTCAGTGTTCATTTAGTTCAACCATTATTGTTGAATAAATTATTATGGATAAAGAAATTCCTAATTTAAGGAATTTAGATGAAGTAGTAAAAATTTAAAAATTTTAATTATAATGTAACCCAAAGATATTGGACGATTGGTAAATATTATGTAACTCAAAGATCAAAATGCTAAAGAAAGTGTTTGGTTATTCAACAGTTTGAAGTAACAATTTGTTCCAAGCCACTGAAAATACAAACATTGCAATTTACAATATTCTCACTTAGCGTTTTTTAGAATGATTTCCACGAAACACCTCTATATTTAAAATAAAATAAAAAAAATGTACTGTAGAGCCATTTCGACTCCTTGAATAACAAGAGCTAGTTTCGCTGGCTCACTGCTTGCCCATTAACAGATGGGCAAGCTTAATTTTTAAATTGGAGCCTTAAGGCTCCTTTTATAGGAGTCTCAAGGCTCCCATGTCACTTTTCTCACCGATATGAAAAAAGTGGCAAAACTAAGGAGAGTCGAACATATGTTTTATTCTTTTATTTTTTAATTTCATTTTTTTATTTTTTAAACAATAATAATAATAATAATAATAATAATAATAATAATTATTATTATTATTATTATTATTATTATTATTATTATTATTATTATTATTATTATTATTATTATTATTATTATTATTATTATTATTATTATTATTATTATTATTATGTATACCCTTGGGTCATTTTACATGTTAATCTAAACAGCTAATATTTTGAAATATCTTTTTACTAACCTTTGATTTAATTCGCTGGTCAAATCCGCTAACGCTAACCGCTAACTGCTGATTGCCAAACAAGGACATTGCGAGATAGTTTCTCACTTCAATTTGTTGTGTGATTTAAATACTCTCTTTGTCAACAAATCCCTCAAATAGTTAATATGATTGACTTAATTATATTTTTTAATTTTTTATGGTATTAATAAAATACTTGGTAAATAAATATATAGCATTATTTTGTATTATAACTTTGATATTTAATTAAAAAATAGTGCACAAAAAAAAAAATAGACAATGTAGTGAATATAATCAATAATTGATCAATTTGTATGTAAAGAATTTTTACATTGGAAAAAAATAAAGACAATATAACTAATGAAAATATTTCTCTTAATTAATTTATTGATAATGAATAATTTTTTTTGAATAAAGACATTGTAGGGACAATGTAGCGAATATAATCAATTGATGAATTTGAATGTAAAGAATTTTTATATTGGAGAAAAATAAAGACAATATAACTAATGAAATTATTTCTCTTATTTAATTTATTGATAATGAGTAACTTTTTTTTAATAAAGGCATTGTAGACACATAATTCTGAATTAAAGAAATGCATATTTATTATTTTTTGTTGTAGCTAATAAATTATTACTTAATTTAATAAGAGTAAAATAGAGTACTAAATATGTCAACTTTGATTGGGATGAGGTTCGAACCTAAAACCTTTCTTATTGAAATCAATGAGTAAATTAACGGTGAACTAACAGAAATTAACGAAAAAGATAATATTTAACGGAAAAGTTAACAGATAATTATATAATTAAGGATAAATTAGGAAATCTCAAGGAAAAATTAAAATCTGATCAATCTGAGCCATTCATTTGATTAAAAAATTTGACCGTCATTTTTTCTACCCATTATAGGCCTAACTCTCTTGGGCTCTTATTAGTATAGTAGAGTAGATAGTAGATTTGAGAGTAATTGTAGTATTTTGGCAAATTATGCTCTGGACCCGTGTCCACATTGAATTGTGGACACGGGCCCAAAACGACGTCGTTTTTAAAAAAAAACGCGTCATTTAGTTAAAAAAAAAAAATTTCGCGCGTGTTTTGCCGTTAACGGCGTTATTTTTTTTTTTGATTATGAATGTACAGTTATGCCGTTATAAATGTACAGTTATGCCGTTATGAATGTACAGTTATGCAATTATGAAATTATGAACACAGAGCTCTAACATTATGAACTTACAATTATGAACATATATAGTGATAAAATTATGACCATGGAGCTTTAAAATTGTGAATATAGAGCTTCGAAGATTATGAATGTACAGTTATAGAGTTATGAATCTACAGTTATGGAGTTATGAATCTACAGTTATGAGATTATGAATCTACAGTTATGGAATTATGAATGTACAGTTATTGATCGAATTATGAACAAAGAGCTCTAACATTATGAACTTACAATTATGAACATATAGTGATAAAATTATGAACATAGAGCTCTAAAATTGTGAACATAGAGCTTCGAAAATTATGAATGTACAATTATGGAGTTATGAATGTACAGTTATGAAGTTATGAATGTACAGTTATAGAGTTATGAATGTACAATTATAGAGTTATGAACGTACAGTTATGGAGTTATGAATGTATAGTTATTAACATATAGTAATAAAATTATGAACATATACTTCTATAACAAAGTGATCTGAAATTAAAAAAAAAAAAAAAAAAGGAGATAACAGTGCCTAACGGCACTGTTACCCGTATCCAGCAAGCATGCTGGACACGGGTCCAAGGCATAACGATTGTAGTATTTTTTGAACTAAAAATGCAAGCCCATATCGCCATGTCAGAGCTTGCCCACAAAAACCTTCACTCATACCAGAAACTAATAACATACACTTTACCATCCATTTTTTTTAGTACTATGTTTTTCCTTTCTGCCACAACATTTTGCTGTGGTGTATAAGGAGTTGTGGTTTCATGAATTATACCAACAAATTGGAAAAACGTTGTGTCATAATATTCACCACCTTTGTCAGTACGTAATATTTTAATTAACTCACTAGTTTACAGATGTACATCCAATTTAAATATTTTAAATTTCTCTAAGACTTCATCCTTAGAATGTAAGAGGTACACATAGTAGTATCTTGAGAAGTCATCAATAAAGTTGAAAACATACTTTTTATTTCCCAATGATAAAGTGTTATGAAAATTACACAAGTTACTATGAACTAATTTAAGCAACATGAAATTCCTTATAACACTATGAAAATGATTCCTAGTAATTTTATTTGACATGCATGTCTTGCATTTTTCCACGTTTAAATCAAAAGACGAAATTAAACCATCTTTGGTCATATATTACAATAGTTTATAATTCACGTGACATAAACGATAATGTCATAAAGAAGATGAACACACCATATAAACGGAACAAAAAACTTTATTAATATTCAATTTGAACATACTGTTACACAGGAAACCTTGCCTAACAAATACACCAGCTTTGAATTAAATAAATCTATCTGTTTCAAATACTAATTTGAAACCACATTTTTTAAGAACAATGCCAAAAATCAAAATTTTCTAACATTCGGGGCATGAAAGACATTTGTGAGTGCTAACTTCTTTTCAGAAGTAAGCAAAAGTTCAACTTGTCCAGTGCCTTTGACTTTCACCGTGGAATCATTTCCCATGTACAAGCTTGGACCATATTTCAATTCTTTATAAACTTTATAAAGATGCACATCCCTACAAATATGTCTTAGTGCCCCGGTGTTGTCGACCCACCACAAATTTCATTTATTGCATGACACAATCTAGAGATCATAGCAATGAAATTTTTAGTGTACTAGAAAACGAGATTAATAATCTCACCTTGTTTCTCTTGGCCACTTCCCTAGCCATGATCACCATGCATTGCCTTATAACCTATGACTTAATCCCAAAAAAATGCACCATAGGGGTCCAAGGGGGAAAGTTCTTAGGGTTCATAGTCTTGAGGAGGGGTATAGAGCCGAACTCGGACAAGGTGAAGGCCATCCTTGACATGGAATCCTCGAGGTCCGTGAGGGAGGTCTAGCGTCTAAATGGGC